TACACACACACACTCTCTCTCTCTCTCTCTCACACACACACACACACACACACACACACACACACACACACACACACACCCCTACACACCCCTACACACATACACTCACATACACACACCCACATACATACACCCACATATGCACTCACTCACCCCCCCCCCAACACACACACATGCATATTATACACACCTACGCACACATACGTACACCCCCATACATACACACACATACACACACAAGCATACATACATCGGCATACATGCACACACATAAACACATACATTAATTTATATACACCCACATACATACCTTATAGATACATACACTCATCCCACATACAACCACATAATACATGCACACACATACACACATACACCGACATACCAACACACATACAACCCTCATACATCCACGTACAACCATGCATGCATATTATACATACACACAAACGCACATGCCCACATACATACATACGTACATACACACATACAAACTCACACACAACCATATAGATACACACAAATATGCGACAGCGGCAAGATAACATATTCAAACAAGAATTATGTTTGGACAGAGGACAGAGTTAAACGGTAAGTGGCAACAGTATGCTCCTTTAGAATCACAAAGTTTATCTGAATTTGTTGGCGTTTTGAGCTACCGGTCCTTAGTAAGATAATATTCAGCATATATTGCATTCGAAAAAAAGCTTGACCGTGTTGTAAAATTCAATTTTAAAAAATTCAAATTTCTCAAAACTAGGTTCTGAGCAGATAGAACTTTGTAGTTCTTGGACAGAGCGTAATCAATATTCCTCTCACCGCTTTCCCTAAACGTTACAACACCAGTAATGTAAAAATAACAAAGACGATCACTCCTGGCATCAAACACTCATCACGTTTGGAATTACAGGTGTAAACGTTTGATATCTTTTTGAAGTAAGAATTAACACCACGTATACAATTTCATTCAGGTACCATCGACACGAGCTATCTGCTCATTGCCATCTGTGCGAGAATAGCTTTATTTTGTATCATGTCCATCCTATGTATGTGTGTGTTTATGTGTGTGTGTGTGTGTGTGTGTTTGTGTGTTTGGAGGTACGAATGTATATGGTTGGGTATATTTACGAGTTTGTTTGTGTGTGAGTGTGTGTGTGTGCGTGTGTGTGTGCGTGTGTGTGTAGGCGGGTTGTGTGTGTGTGTG